GTGGTATGACCTCCGGTGGGAATTCGTTGTAAGCTAGAATATACGCTGGGAAGTTTCTTATTTAGCGGCAGCAGATGCTGTACCGCCGCATACGCGATGGTTCACTAGTCCTCTGCGCGTACCCAAACATTAGGGTCCATCGGGAAACCGCATCTACTAGTGCCGTCAGCCAACCTACCTTTCTTGCGCACGAGCGCTTTCTTGTACTTGATACGGCTGTGATCATACCTGGCCCAGGCGGCCTCAAGGATGTTATGGACGGTATTTCTCCAGGCGTGACGGTTGGCGGCAGCGGATCTAGAAAGCTCAACCCATTCTCTTATCCAGTGACGGTGACCCGATACTGAAGGTTCAAGAGCCGCTTCTATGTCTTCTCGAGCCATGTTGAGTCAGATCTTCAGTGAACCTCATGTTTTATGCCTCCAGGTGGGCAGTGGCGCCAGATCAAGGGATGAAGAACGTGCTAAAACTACCTCAGTTGTCTATCTGGATTAGACCGCTATATCCTTGCGATACTGTCGCAGCGCGTGCGAACCGTCTCATTTGAGAAGTCGGTGTGTTTCACTAGAAGGATGATTCTCAGACAGCGGTGGTCGAATAGCTCCATTCTTCGCTCATCTTCAGCGCACAAAGCCTAGCATTCGCATTCATAGAGGGAGACTGACCGGACGGATGTGCGGTACACACATATCTCACCTCCCCGGGGTATTTAAAATTGTCTATTTCAAGTTTTCGGCCATTATTCCCCAGGGGTACCTTCTTTTCGCCAGGGATACAGTTCGAAATCAATTTGGTCTTCCCGGTATTTATGGACAAACCAACCGACGTAGTAATCTCATTCACCTATGACACTACAGACGGACGATGACGAAAGCTTGGGGCTAGCAGGGAAATATCATCGCTGTAGTCGAGATCAGTCAACTTTTAACCGAGTGCAAGCTCAACACTGTCCTCTTCGTGTATGGCCTGCCCGAGAATACAGTCAATAGCTTAATTAAACAGAATGGACTACCGGACGCAGTCTTGTAGAACATCAGACCGGATATCCAATGGTTGGGAGACGTTGTTTTATATCAGAACTCGCGTTGTGGTGAAGTGATAGTAGGCTTTGGTATTGGCAATGTTTTTAGACGTACTGTACCTCGTTCCGTTATTCATTACGGAGACTCAGGATGAACGGGATCGAACGCATCGACGAAGTCGACAAAGCAGACGGCCGTCGGAATACGGTTTGGTTAGGTGGCACTCTAGAGTCTCGTGCAGACTGGAATCTTCTGAGAAGGAAAATAGTGAAGACCCTCGCTGCAAAATCGATGGGGCTTATGCCATGATAGTTCTCACACTTCGTCTGATCACCCTTGTTGAAGACAGGCATAAGGACACCCGAACCCCCAATCATTCGGAAAATCTTCATCTCTCCACGCTTGATCGATCACTTCATGGAATCAGAGCGCCAAAATGTCAATACATAACTTCTAGATTTCATTAGGAATACCGTCCTCACCGAACGCCTTGTTTTTGCGCAGCCTCTGTGTTTCGTCCTTTGCCTTCTTCGACTGTATCCAGCAGTCACGCGTACGC